AAAGAGTGACCAGTATTTGTCCTGTGCAGTTTTTTGTTTCTTCCTTGCATTGCTGTGACTTAACCTTCTGTTGCACAACAAGCACTTAAACCAAAAAATGTTAATTGTTTCCTTCTTCACGTTGTCACCACTGACATGGCAATGCTGGTAGCCAAAAGAAATTTCGACCTCAGTATTAGGAGCAGCTTATCTTCTGAATGAAACAAAAGGTACAAACGCAGAAGTACACAGAAAGGATTCATTAATTGCCTCTCTTGCAAGACTCAGTAGACGACCTAAAATACACAGCGGCCGCAGTTGGTTTTAGAAATTATTTTCTGGACTTGCAGAGAACAGTGTAATTCAGGAAGTAAATAGTAGAACTAACAACACTTGAAATTACAATCAGTTTTCAAATGTACTACAGGTAGATTATCCACTGATGAAAGTCAGTGACTAGATCCCATAATGCTGAGATTCTCCCACTTCATCTCTGGGGCTGTGGTTCCAGAAAAGTATGAGTTTCTCTGGATTTATGTCTTCAGTGACACAATCTTGGTAACATACCTTCCCTTATATTGTGAGGCTTAATGGAGAAACAAAGATCCAATGGACCTACTACATGGAGATTTTCAAAAAGCCTTTGTTGAGGTTCCACACCTAATGTGCTGGAAAACCAAAGCTGTCACAGGATTAGAGTAAAGGTAATTTAATGGATTTGCTAAAAGGTTACAGGACACAAAATTTACGGCTGGTTAAAAGACAGGAGGGAAAGAGCACAGCATAACAGTAATTTTTCAGGATAGAGAACAATTAGCAGTGGGAATTGGTGGGGCCTGTTCTATTCAATGTCTTCATCAATAATCTGGAGAAAAGAGCACCCGCACAGTGAAGGCAGGGTATTAGTTTAGTTTAGTATTTTAGAATACTAAACTTCTCCAGGTAGTTACATGATGTATAGAAAGCAAATAAAGTCAGAAGGAGCTCACAAAAAGACGGCAAATGAGTTTCTACACAGATAAACACAAGGCAATACGTTTAGGGAAAATAATCTAAACCAGGCATACATGGTGCTGAATTCACATCCAGCACCTATCACTCAGAAAAGCCATCGTGGAGTCATGCTTGATGGTTCTCTGAAATCATCTGCTTAGTGTGCAGGGGCAGCCAAAAAAAGCAAACAAAACGGTGGGCATCATCTAGAGAGGTATTGAGAACAAAACAGAAAGTGTAATTTTGCCACTATTTGAAGCCTTGGCCCACCCCTCTTCTTCAGTGCAGTGCATGGTTCCAGCCTCCAGATGTCCAGAAGAATGTAGTGAAGTTAGAGAAGATCCGGAAGAGGTCAACTAAAATGACCAAGGCAGTGGAGCACCTAACTTACATGGGAAATATAAAAAGATGGGAACTCAGCTTGGAGGCTGAGGAGGATACAATCAAGAATCCTAAAAGCAACTCAGTCAACTCAGTATTGTGCTAAATTCTGTAATACAAGAACTAGTGGCACTCAATGAAATAAGAGTAAAAGTGGTAAAAGTACCTCTTACACAGTGGGTGGCAACTATCTGTAATCTGTTGCCACAGGTGCTTATGGAGGCAGATTGTAGCAGGAAATTCAAAAGAGAGAAGAAAAATTAATGGCAATATGAATGAATACTAAAGGCTGGGACAAACTCTTTAACATTCTTAATCCTATTACAGCCGATGCTGCAGAACTATGAGGAATGCAAACAGCAGACATTAACCAGGCTTACGTGCTTTTCCTAAATAACATCTCTTACTGCGACTGTCAGAGACAAAACGTTGGGCTTGTACTACTAGGCTGGCCCAGGAAGGTGGTTTTTAGACCTTTACATTCCTTTTGTGTGTTCTAAGACGAAAGGTGCTGAAGTTGCACAGCTGTTATTACAGTATACTGTCCAGCGTAAAACTACAAAGCAAGCAATTGTTTTTGTGGTTCATTTTTTTGACTATTAAGGCACACTTTGTCATCTTGCTCATTTTCCATTGTCCTGTGCAAAAACATAGTCAGCACTATTACATTTACAGTTACTGAACAAGCAGCATGAAATATTGAGAAATAGCATAACACAAGCCAGTTGACCACAAACCAGATTTTTTTTAAAAAGAATAGATATGCAAATCAGTGTCACCCTGATAATTATGAGCAATTCTAAAACAAGCAGATATTAACAAAGTTATAGGAAATAACTGCTGTGCCTGCTTGTCAGTCCCTCCTTTTTGTAGAAAAGTAGTTTATTTTCTTCTTTTCCCTTTTTACAGACTCCAAACTGGGCTAAACCCATAGTTCATCCAATATCCAAAAGTTCAGTCAACTTTGCTTCCATCAGAAGAGGTCATTTTGTACACTGACTGATGATTTGAAGTGTCAAAAAACATGAATCAGACTTCAAAACTTAGAAAGAATGGCCTAAAGAACAGTGGACTTCTATTAGTTTTATTTGCCTTCTGTTTCCTGAGCCTGTGTGGCACCTTTTGCTCCTATTTCCTCAAGAGACATGAAGCCCACAAACTTAGAGAGTTCTATTTGTGTTGGGGAAAACTGAAATTGTCATTGCTTTCAGTCAAGAGTTGACGCCTTAAGAAAAACACCAGATGTTGCAGAATATATGACAAAATTGGAAGTACTGGTAATACTGGAATAGAAACAACATACGAAACAGTGCTGGGTCTCAAGCTTAACTCAGAATTCTGGCCAGAATTTTCAATAGTTAATAAGAGTAATCAGACATAGTTTTCAATCCATTCCTTCACGCAGAGAAAGCAAGCTGCAAAACTTGGCATCCAGATGTCCTCTGAATTTTGTAGCTTTGATTCAAATTTGCTTCCAGCATGATACTGGGAGAGAGAAGGAAAGAGAAATATTTGACGTCAGCTAAAAAGGCCAACGGTTTGGATGATCCTCTCATTTGTTAGATGAAATAGGTTCTAGCACTCCTTGTTTGAATATGTTTCAGTGTTCTACATGAGTTTTCAGATAATCTAAGGCACTATGTGTGTACCTCCCTTGTCATAGATTCAGGCTTAGTATCACACTGGATGTTTCTGTAGCTTCACATATCTTCTCAGGGGGTTATCACTTTTCAGTGGCAGTGGTGGGGTGATGAAATTCTTTTCCCTCTTCTTCCACAGGAACCATTACATCATTCCCTGGAAAAGACTCTGTTTCCTGCTCTGGATAGTGCATTGCCAGTTCCTCTTCCATGTTTTCCTGGGCATCGATATTACTTTCACACCCTCTAGCAGCACAGTTCTTGCCACTAGGCACTTCTGAAATGGACCCCACAATAACAGTGTCGGCCTTCATGATGTATATTTTTTCTGAGGAAGGAAAAATGTAGTGCTGAGCGTGGTTAACAATCACTGCTGACCCTAGAGTTTGTTCCTTTTCATGCAAGATTTTTATTTGGTACTCAGTTTTTCTCCTCCCCCTCCCCGCTTTTTTTAATCAGAGGCATGCAATCAAGCCCATCACTGTGAAAACAGAATTCACTAACCCACCAAAGCTTTTGGAATTCACACATTATAAGTTGTCTATTTCATTGTTTATTTATAATGTGCTTTCAATTTTGAAATCAAAGCACTGCACATACTAAGTGATAAAGAAGGCCTGCACATTTTATACTACACTGTCTGGTTTTGGACCACTGTCAAGGAGACTTTGGGCATTTTAGATCAAGTAGATCTAGCTCTCATGTGATGAAGCCACTGCACTGTAGCTAGGACTGCAGGAGAAAGACAAATTTGAAAAGGCAGTAAGATATTCACAAGGGTCTGTTAGAAGAAGCAATTAACCGGGATCTGGGGAAGATGGATATGGAGAATCCAAGGTTCATGCTCCTGCTGTTTCGAGAAGCAAAAATACCTTCATTAAAAGCAGCCTTTGGGCAAGGATCAGCACTGTACAGAAATTCTGGGTAATTATCTGGGGTCTCAGGACCAGCAAAGAAATTAGTTTCTTTCCAGCAGAGAATCAACTTGAACCTTGTGTCCAACTTGTTGACCCTACTCTTTTTCAGAAGGTAAATAATGCCTTTGCTATGGCTTGGACCACTATATTTTACTCAGAAGGATGCTGCAGATCAGACACTGTAGGTCATTGTTCACAATTGCCTGGAGATATTTGGGTATGGTAAGTCAAATTATCACATTCATGCCAAGTCCATCACTCACAGAAAAAACGGAAAGGGCATTTAATAAGGAAAGGTGAGCTCTAGTAATACCAAAAAAAACCCCTTCAAATGCCCTCAAAATTGAGTTTGGAAACATTGCCAGAATGTCTCATGTAGATCATGTCTCAGGTAACAATTCTCCCCCTGCGAGTAAGCTTCCTTGCTTGACTTTATCTTCTACAATGTGTCATGGTCAAAGACTTTATAGGAACGTATGGGAAACACATTTCAAGCTATTACTGTGAAAACAAGAGAAGAAAATGATAGCTTGAGACATATGAAGTACAACTCTCATTAGGTATTACAGCATCATTTTCCAGCTGATGTATTTTGGATTTCAAATTTCTTCTGCAAATTTACATCTTCTGGAATGAAAAAGAGGAAGAAGAGCAAAGCATTCTTCTGTCAGGTTCCTAAGTGACTAAGGCAAACGTGAAAATAAGAAAGCATTATACTCAAATGAACAGATATACCAGAATTCGGGTATCAAGGGTTCTGGAGATTCAGCTCCTATTTTCTGTTGGACACTTTGCAGCTTACTAATAATCTCAGAATGACATTAAGTCCCCGTGGTTGAAAAACCAAAAAGGTAGGAGGGGGGGAAAAAAAAAAAAAGGCAAGACTCACCAATACGATTATTTGTGTGGTCTCTCACTCGAGAATCGATAGGGCCATCTGGGGCATTTCCATTGCTCTGTGTCACATCAGTCAGACTCAGATCAGGACTATATGCTTTTTCTGTGCTGGAGACCAAGTTATTGTTGGTTTCCAAAGGGAGAGTTCTGTCAATTAACTCCTCTTCTGGCCCACTGTCAGCAGTCAGTATGACCTTCTGCCAATACAAAGAGGAAAGTAGCAGTGGGGTGAATGTAAAAACAACGTTGTGGGGATTGCAATAGATCTACAGAATCTTTCTGTGGCACTCAGAATAACATAATGTACTTCATAGCACCACTGTCACAGGAAGTAAAAAATTCCGAAGTGCCCACCTGATATAGGAACTTAAAAGTTTCTTTGAACTAGGTTCCTGCATCACGTAAGACCATATTTAAAAACGGCATTTCTAAGTTAAATTCACAGATTTTCAATGACATTTGCAAGAATGTACCCCACTTCCACTGAAATAGGTTCCTGGATCTGCTTGGATGCTTTGGTAAATTCCACTGCCTTGTCTGCAATTTAGATGCCAATGAACCTTTGTAAATCCACCTATTTGTCATTTAGACTTTTTGCCACAAGTCTTTTACAGAGACATGCTCTGTTGCAGAGTCTGCTACCCTGTAACATAGCAGCAGCTGCATTCTGGAGGCAGCTGAAGCTCAGTAGCACTTTTCTTACTGATGTTCTACTCTTTGCTGAAAGATACATTCTGGAGGTAAGAATTTTAAAGCATTTGCTCAGAAAGAACTTTAACAAGATGTTTTTCATATTTAGTTGTGAGATAAGTATCAGAGGACAAACCTGTACAGATGTGCAGTCATATGGTGAGAGATTCAAACAGTCAAAACTGAAAATATATGGTTTAACTTCCTCTTAGATTTTGCAAAGACCTACCATGCTCCTATGGGAGAACAAAAAAAGCCAGAGGTTGAACTGGTTGAACTTCAGAATGGAATTGCCTCAGCAGAATCTCAGGTAGGAGAAACAAGCTCAGACTAAGTGTTACGTGAAGAATTAATTACAAACAGTCCTTTAAAAGAGGAGCCAGAATCTGAGTGAGGCTAAAGGTCTTGCATCACAAATTTCTCATGGTTCCTAGCTCTCTTTGTGTTTCCACAAAGTTGGAAAAGAAAACAAAACAAAAACCATAGTAAGATTTTGAAATGTGCAGTTTAAAATTCTTGCTTATGTCTAACTCACTATGAAAGCAAGAGTGGAAGCTCCCCACAATTCAGGAATTAGCAAAGACACACTGAAATTATGATAGCTGACTGCAGCCAGATCTATTAGAATAAGTAGTACCGTGTATGTGTGCAGATGTACAACATTTAAAAGCAAACTGATTTAAAAACCAAAAAGGAACAGTCTAAAGAGTGTTTTAGCAGATATGGACATTTAAAGATAACAAGCCTAGTAAACTGAGAAGACAAAGAGGATGAAAGTTGCTATAATTTCACTGGAAGTGGGGGAATCAAACAGAGCTGTGATGATTTCAGCAGCTGAGGAACTGGTTTCTGTTGTTACCATGTTGACTGATACTTGTCTTGCTCATCTGCAAACTATACTGTTAGACCAGAAGCTGGTCCTGATGGAAAGTCTTTCAAACAATACCCTCTGTGTACCCGTATTACAGTCATGCCAAATCCTACAAAGAAGGAAGGTGACACGGAGGGAGTCAGAAGAAGAGTACAAATCCCACTTGTGTGACTGGAGCAGTAAGATAAAATGGGACTGATGGACAAAGTTCTCCCAGAAGGTAGAAAAGGCATGTTCATCCTGTGATTTTGGATCTTGTCCATAGAATGCAACATGAGTGGCATAAGACCAAACCAAATACTCCCTTCACAAGCAAGATTGGCAGCATCACATTATTTAACACCACATTAAACATAGCCCAAGACATGAAAGTAGCAAGTCCTAGTACATCTCATTGCTGCACCTAGAGGATCACGCGTTGTAGAGGGAATTCCAAACAAAAAGGTTGGCACTCTTTAGCAGGACATTTTAAAATATCGTTATTTACATTGGAATGGAAAGTGATCTGTTTTGGAATATTGTTCACACTTACTGCACATTTGTTCAGTAGATCAGAACCTGCAATAGAAAGAAGAAAAATTATCAGAAGAAAATTCACAGCAATCACAAGAATGCTAATACTTTCTCTGAAATACTGCCTAGCCATGTCCTAAACTACTCTACTGCCCAACCCACCTGCACTATGCTTTTTTTACCACTGAGGGCACACTTACATGACATGGCTGAGGTGAACCAACAACATATTGCTGCCAAGACTGAGGTCCTGCCCTCCCCAAAGCCCTTTGTGGCCATCCCTGTCACTCTCCCCACACCACAACTGGTATTCTTCTAATGAAATGAACTGATTAAAATTTCTAGGTAAGCATAAGACAGGCTTATTTAAAAAAAAAAAAAAAAGGTAAAAAAAGGTTAATAACTTTCTACTGGATTAACAAGTTGGATTAGTTCATTGTGTGGTCAGATGAATATTAAGAGGATGGGATTTTATGCAAGGATGGAGGAAAGGAACACTGGAGAAAGAAGAGAGGTAAAGTACCATGCAGTACCATGAAGCTAGATGGGCTCAGGCCTACTATCTAATTTCATCCTGACATGCAGCCACCTTTCTTTTCAATGCATCAGCTCTACAATGCTGCACAATAACAGTTTCTATTGTGTAAGGTAAGTGAGGAAGCACAAATTCCAAAAATTCCACATTTGAGTGCCCAGAAACTAATGGGGCGTTTTTCCATAAAGCCTCCCTGCACTAAGGCATCACCCAACCATTCAGTGCAGTGGGAAAAAAGTGCCATCTAGTGGCTTGTCACACAGGACTGGCCTTTTGCATGTCAACAGATAACATACCACATGGGGCAGTTCCATGTTTTAAATAAAAATTCCATAAAATAAAGTTCCATATTAAAACTACCCACTTATTCTTTAGACATACGGATTAAAATTCCTGGTCCATCTGTCACTCACCTGGAGATTTGAGCCCGGATTTGTGTGAAGTGATGGAATGCAGATGTGCTGATAAAAGAAACCATTCATTTAGCAAAACTCATCATGGAGCATATAGGTTCTAGCAGCTTTGCCACACCTACAAGTCTACAACCAACCTACAACATGCACATCCTGCTTTCTACAAACGAGGGAATGTGGTTCCGCAGACACACCCCACATGTAACTCTAGGCAAAGCTACCAAGAGTCAGTATTGGTAAAAATCACCCCTCTTCTCATACTCAAAGTCTAACCCTATCCCAGGAACCAACAAATACTCACAAAACACTTCAGGTATCATTTAATATTAGTGTCTGCACTGAGAGAAGAAACCACTGGTTACCCTTTCCCCACCCAGCTTGTAGTATCTTCCTCCATATATTCACAGCTGCTTCAATCTTTCTGTCATGTTCTCTAACATGCTGCATGAACTGTTTTCCTAGAACCCTTATCTGGCCTGCCTCCACCAGGCAGTAGTAAACATTCTCGTCCCCAGTGACCTCCACAAAATTTTGGGATATTTGAGTTCCCAGCTGGCATATACTTGGAGATCAAAGAGCATGCTATGTATTACAGCTTTAAAAACTCACGCTTTCCTTTGAGGATGAGGATCCGCTTCTTGCAAACCTTCCATTTCCAAAATAACAGCATGCCCACAAGTAGCACTATCACAGAGAGAACCACTCCCCAAAGAACTAGACCTATAGCACAGAAAGGGAAAGGCAGTACTGGAAAGGCTAAGAAAAGGCAGAGGGGGAACTACTGTGTTTGGACGTAAGAGCCATGGACAACAATTCACAAGTCGTAGGGGATTTGCAGGAAGCTCCCACATAAAAAATTGCATTTAGCAAAGATATCAAAAACAAACATGCTAGACAGAACAAATGCTTTATCTTTGTTACCTCGTATTGTCGTCTCCCCCTTATCTGTGGTGGGAAAAGTGCCAGCCAGAGCTTTCTCCTCAGGAGTTGAACCGAGGTTTTCAGTTGTTGTGCCATGTAAAACGGTCAGCACGTTCTCCTCAAACCTCCTTAGGTCAGAGTTACTTGTTTCATTGCTGAGTCTCAAGGACAAAGTGCTTGAGGCGAGGTAGGTGGGCAATTGGTCCAGGCAAAGCTGATCATGTGTGGCATTTCCTTGGTTTAGTGCTACTTTGTTTAACTCAGCACAGCTAGGGAATGAAAAAGAACAGTGTATCAGCGCTAGAGGAAACTGCCATGGTACAAGGTAAGAGCATTTTCCATGTGACAAGCATTCCTATGGTCTTTTTTGTATCACCTCCATTTATTTCAGTGAAAAAGTCATTAACCTTCTTCTCACCTCTGTGGCATTAATTCTTGACCTGGATGCAAACCTGATACTCACATGCATGTATAATTCCCCTGTGGTTAGTAAACCAAATATGAGACAAGAGAGATTCCTTCCTTCCTTCCTTCCTCCAGCACAGAGCTATGCAACAGGTATAAAGAGAGGCCTTCTAAGCTCTGCACGTAGGCCCACAGCTATCCCATTGCCTCCAACACAAATTTGTATACTTTACACCAGACACGACAGGTGTCCCTTTTCATTCTTTATTAACTTTAATTAATTAATTAGTCACTTTAAAGAACTATAGACTTACTTCGTGTGGGGCTTGCAGATGTCAGTGCTGGAGCTTTGATCAGAGAAGGTCCCAGATGGGCACTCTTCACAGGTAACATCATTTGTTGAGGTGCCTGAATAAAAATAATGACTGAGGAACAACCAACCAAACTGCATCAGGTCCAGGCCTATGGCCAAGACCAGGAAAGGTAAGCTAGACAGGTAGGAATTCCTACCTCTGACTTTGACTCCAAAACCAGGCTTGCAAAGAGTGTGCTGCTGGCATCGTATGCAGGTGTTCAGAACAGGGGTTTGGCAGAACAGGCCTGGTCGGCACTCACACACGCGGCTAGAATTGAAGGAGCAGGGCTTTTTCTCCACAAGGTCAGATTCTGTGGGGAAGAAGCAGATGCAGTAACAAAGGATTCCTCTGCAAGTAAAACGCAAAGCGGGGGCCAAAGCTGAGCAACATCAGTTCAAAGGCGCAGGAAGCAGAACAGGCTGCTGGCACTCTTCATGATAGCAAATTAAGTCATGAATAATTGGAGAAGCCTGTAGGCAATGGCTTGTCATGTGAGACTGAAAGCATAAATCTGACTTGGGCAGCACTGGATAAGAGAATTTTTAGGTAGTCCCAGGTCACACAGGAAGCAATACTGATTATGTGAAGGTAGCATTCTGCTCTCTAAATCAGTTACCAAGGATGGGTAATTTTGCTGCTGGAAATCCTAAATTAATACAATATAAATAAAGTATAAATAAAATATATAGAGAGAATATAACTGTGAGGTATGTGTGAGGGAAAGCAAACCTTTTGCGCATGATACACAAGCATCACATCGGGGCTTTGGGAATGCTTCATTCACATATTGTTCAGGTCCACATCTCATGCAGTCTTCATCTGGGTCCCTAGGACATGCTTTCTTTTTAACATAGCCTGGAGAAAGAAAAGCAAAATACGCAAGATATCTGTTCAGAATCACAGGAGACAACCATTCTCAAGTGTTCTTGTATGCTCAGTTACCTGTTAAACACACTACCGCAGTCTTCTCTTTGTACCTGCCATTTGGTTTTCCTAGCATATTTTTGCCTTTCCCGCTCCAGTGTGAAGGGATGACAGCTGTCTTAATACCACGCCTAGTGCTGCTGTAACATCGCAGTCAGTATGGATGGCTGCAGAATGGGCGCATGGCAAATCATTTGCTGACAGTTAGAAATGACTGCCAAGTCTGCAGTGAGGGCACTATTGTCCTGCCCAGGCAACTGTTTTTCATGTTTTCTTCTTGAGTATAGCAAGAGGCCTGATATTTTGCTACCTAAGGCATCACTTTTCCTTTCGAAAGCTGCCAGAATCTCCTAGGTGTACATGGATTCATGCAGGGACAACCTCATCTCCCATGTTCAGAATGGGAGGTTGCAAGACGGTACTTCTTGAGCTGTGCCCTATGTACCCCCAGCAGGTTTGCAGCAGGTTGCTTTCTGAGCAGCCCTGCTAGTTTTACAGTTGCCTTGACAGCTGTGAGATGGTTTAATTTTTTGATTGTTTTCATTTAAACAAATCAAATTACATATGCATGTCCTTCTGAAGCTGGATGTATATGCTATACACTTTCTCTACTCAACACTTCCAACTCACCTGGACTCATTGCTCACAGTTTGTAAGCACACTGCCCTGAATCTCGCAGACCTTCTGTGTCCATGCAGCATGCATGAAGTTGAGCAGCTAGCTGAATTACATGACCTCTGGAGGTCTCTGCCAAACTTAAGCTATTCTACGACTCTATGTTTATGTCTGCTAATCATTTCCTAGTGACTAGCTTTTGAAAGCATCCGTCTGGCAAGCTAGGTACAATAACCAGCTAGGAGTATGGGAAAGGCTGGGACAGAAGCATTCCTAATGTTCCCGCTCCTGAAGCAACAGATGAGGTATTCCACCACTGGTCGTAGTTCCAAAGAAACTAGAAGGTGCAGTAATCAGCTATGACCTTGTGGCCTTTCCAGGAGGGGAAATAGCTACCGGAGGATAAGGAACAGTGGCAGTTGCAGAAGCAAACAGAAAAGCTAAAGCAACAACATAAAGGTATGGTGGAAAACAGGAGAGAAACAAATCCCAGTTTCAGCATCCGGCCTGCATCACCCAATCACAACAGGGAGGGGGAACCTGGCAGGGAAATAACTCACCTACTATGCATTTTGGCAAGCATGATGTAGGAGTGCAAGTAAAAACAGCTGTGCTATATTTGGCCCACGAAATACCACCAGACAGGCCTGAAACACATCACTCCCACCTCCTCAAAACTACTTGTCTGAGACTATTCTTTTCAAGGTGGGGGCTGATTGCTGAATCTCAGCACTCAAGCTGCACACATGTGTACCTGCACACGTGTGTCATTTTCCCCTTCCTCCCCCAATGACCCAAAAGTTTTAACTTCAGTTATCTGAGATTTCCTGTACACCTGGGTCCCTCCCTTGGGGGATGTGTGCCCCAGGTGCTCGAAGCTTGCCTAACAGTGTCTTCTGGTGCTGTACTCCGCCGATTGCATTCATAGCTCAAGAATCAGATAAAAGCCTGAGCAGTAGGAATACCAGCTGCAATCACCTGCACAGAAAAAAGTACTGAAAGTAAGTAGACAAAATAAGTGTTTTAACTGTTTTTCTTTTGTGAGTATGTGCATTCATTCACTCCTGGGGTTTGCTGTTAACCGTGGGTGGGAAATTATCTTGAGTGCTGACTGCAGCACTATCTTGTAGAGCTGGATATCTGATTTAGCGCCTAAAACAAACAAAAAAACCCCCAAAAAACCAAAAAGGTAAAAAATCATAAACAGGATAAACAGAAATTAAGTGGGATACCGACTCTTGCATAACATGAGCTGTTCTAGCATATACCATTATTTCCCATGAAAGTCTCTGTTCCTCTCCTTGACAGGAGGGAAGTATTTTGTTCTGCGATGACAGAAAGAAAATATTCTTCTGCTATCCCAGGTATGAAATCTCATTTTAACTACACAAGAATTAAGTACATGAGAAGAGATGTGGCAACTGTAGAAATTGATTAGAATGATCTTGTGAAGTTTGTTTTGTAGATTATTTTGAAATTAACTTTGAAACAGAGGATGGCTTCCATGTGGGCCCGTGTGCTCAGATAGGAAGCTGCACATCTGTGGGCTGGAACACCAAGGAAAGTAAAGCCAAGCTGCATCAAAAGTTCAAGATGCTCCACTTCAATTAACTGGAATTTTAGAAAAGCTTCTCTTTCTTTGCAGTGAGCAGTTGAGTTAGTAGCAGATATGAACAGGTTACTGCTTGAAGGACTACTGGAAGATTAAAACAAAAAAGGATTCTTAAGAGTTTCTGTTGTGAAGGAGGCCCTGGAGGATGTGAAAAGATGTCCAAGACTGACATGAGGATGTTGCAACAAAATGAAATTCAAGAATAAGCAGAAGTGAAATGATTGAGTCTGATTGCTCGTTACAGCCAGATGTAAATCAGATCTGTGCTTTTCATCGGACCCCACCATCACAGCTGTCATCACAGGAGCTTTTGCAAAGTATGGTTTTGAAGGAGAAAAGAGCTTTTCTTGGGACTGGTTCGGAGTCAGATCCCTGCCCCTTTTCTTCTTTTACGGGACCAGTTGCTCCATCCCTTGGTCTTCCTTACTTACACAACTTCTGAACAATTCTAGTGTTGTGGGCAGCAGTACAAGATGCCCCAGTGGGAACCCCGATGTAACTGCATGCAAATGCTAGCAACCAAGCACTAAACCCCTCTTTATTATTAGAGCACAAATAAATGTCAAAAATTTCCTTAAAAAAAAAAAAAAGAAAAAGAAAACATTTCTCTAAGAAGAGATTGATGATGGTGAAGTACCATAAAATGCCCCACCCAGTGAGGGGTTTTTTGGCCAACAGGGGGAGTTTCAGGCAGTTCCAGAAGTCTTGTCTTACCGAGGTGTTTCCTGCTTCTGACCTCATGTGCCTCTGAGTCACAACTAGCTTCTGGCAAAGCTCACTGTGTCCCCAGCAAGGGGCTGTTCCCTTTCTCATGTGAGACACTAAACTGTTTTGACTATGAGGATAATGACAGATTTTCCACATCTTCATTTCATTTTTTTTTGTCTCTGATCAGAAACTTATTTAGCCTAATTTTACTGCACTATTTCATACCCTGAGGCAAGTTGAAATGAATTCTTAGACCTGCCTACTTCTCCTTACTTCAGATTGTCCAGTCAACCCATAAAAAACATATTAAAAATTCTAGCAAGTTATCTTGTCTGCAATTTACAGATTGTTTGCATGCAGACTGAACAGGAGCAGGGCAGTGGAGAACACGCTCACATCTGGATGCACCCTAGCCAGTGATTCATGAAATTGCACTTTTCAGGGACAAAATGCAATTCTGCAGATATACATGGTTCCTGCTATCTCTGTGAGAAAAGCTCCGTGTTAATTTGACTGAAGGAGCTTGCCAAGCCACTCTCCATCAT